TATTATATATTTTATTTTATGCATTCATATAACTTGATAAACATATGTAATAAAATATTTTACCATATATAATTTTATTTGATATATAATTTGAAGTTTTAAATTTTATTTACAAATCTGTTTTATATTATGTATATTTAATATTATATACATTTTATATTTGTGTAGGGGAGGTCAATGAACATAATTATAAGCTGAAATTAGGATGGTGGAAAGATAGGTATGTTGGAGAAATCTGTGGAGTGAGGGCTGGAGGAAGGGGTAGGGATCTGACCTAGGGAATATGGAAGGGAAGGGATTCCCTCTACCGGGAGAGGATTGGCAACACATGAGAGCAGGAGCAGGTCTGCCTTGATGAAAGGAAAGGAGGTAGTGAAGGGTATTGATATAGACTGGGACTGTAAATTGGAGTAGTAACTAAGAGGATTTTGACTATCACTTTCTATAAATTCAGGCAGTATAGTCATCAGCTGACAATGGAGTGATGTTCCTTACACAAAATCTGACTATGAGACAACATAATTTCCACAAACTTTGCACCCCAAATACATTTTTGTTTGTTTGTTTGAGACAGAGTCTGACTCTGTCACCCTGTAGAGTGCTGTGGTGACATCATAGCTCATAGCAATTTCAAACTCTTAAGTTCAAGTGCCTCCCAAGTAGCAGGGACTGCAGGCATGCATCGCTATGCCTAGCTGGTTTTCCTATTTTCAGTAGAGAAAGGGGGTCTCATTCTTGCTCGGGCTGCTCTTGAACTCCAGAGCTCAGGCGTGGCTTACCAGAATGCTAGGATTACGGGTCTGAGCCACCATGCCCAGCCCAAACTATCTCTTTAAAAACTTTTCAATCAATGGATCCCTGAAAAATAGTTATGTTTACTAAGGTAGAGGAATTAAATAAGGATAAACTCTGAAACCAAACATCATTTGCATAATGCTTCCTGTTTCACAATTAAAGAGAAACACAGAAATGTATATTCTAATCCAAAATACAAGCATGACTTTGTATAATAAAGATGAAATAAAAGTTTAAGGTGTTGTGTGTATTTGACATTTAAAGAATATTTAGCACTTGATTTTGGAACTATCAGAAGATAATACCTATTCTTCTTTTCGTGGCCCCCAAGATAAGGTTTTTGTGAGAACGTAATAATCCTGACACTTTCCGTCTAGCACTTTTTGATCTCTCCAAACACCTATTACTGCCAAATTCTGTTTTATCTTTAAAAAAATGTTCTTATTTGCAAAAAGGTGCACGTGCCCAAGTCAAACGGCAAACATGTGCAGCTCCTTCTCAGTTTATATACATGCCAACCAGCCAAACCAAACAGAAAACATATTCCTCCTTATCTGCCTAGAAAGTCTGAATATATAAATCAAGTCCCAGTTCTCTCTGCCTCTTCTTTACTCTTCAATCTCTCTCTGATCTAATCCTATTTCCAAAGCGCTCTTTCTGACCCTTCCATTAAAGCAGTGATTATTTTGCATTATTGCTTTTGGTTTTTATGCTTGCCCCTCCCTGTCCCTATGCACAGTAGACTGTGATTTCCTTACAGTCAGGGAGTTGATACTTGTGTCTTTGTATTTTGAACACCCAACACCTGCTAAATGAAGGAAGCAGAGATTAATCTTGAGGAGAATAAAACTGGTTTAAATTATCCAGTGAAAAGGTGTAGTGAAGGATAAGAAAACTGGCAATGCACATGTAAAATGATCACTGAACAGAATTCATGTTCTAGTGCTATAATGAAATATTAGAAATGTTAGAAATATTTTCTCTAAAACATGTGAATGAGGAACAAGGTGCATTAGTAGGCTTTCTACTGAAAGAAATACCCATTGATTCATTTGTCAGTCTGTGATTTTATTTTCTTTTATTTCAGCTTTTTTTAATTATGACTTTATGTCCAGGCGGACAGCTGACAGACTTGATGCTGTTGTTGTATCAACCAAGTAAGACCACTGTTGGTTTCTCGGAACTCTGGTCAGGTAGTTTATGCTCAGCTATTCTTTGTCATTACTTGATTGTGCTAAGAGAGTTTCAAGTGAAATTGAGAGGGTGAGCATAGAGAAAGTGAAATTGAGTGTAACAGGAACAGTCAGAGAGAAAATAACATTAGATTAAACAGGAATCAAAAACAGGAAGTTTACAAAGAACTAGAATAAAATTAAATTATTACATCTCGTGGTCAAATTATCTCTGTGGTGATTCTAGTCTAGCTTTCATTAGCAGAGAAAATAAAATTAAACGCTTCTGAATCAGAGAAGCAAGTTACAATTTTGATACTAAATTGATTCTGTGACCTTCAGTAAGTTGAATACTATCCCCTTAGCGCCATTTCCTCACCTATAAACTGAGAATCATATGATATTTTCTACCTAAGAGGGTTGTTTTGAAGATAAGATGATGAAATACATTTAAAGCAGTACAGTGTAAGTCATAGTGTCACCCTTGATTAAAACAATTAGTCACCAAATTGCACATAGAAAACAGGAAAAATCCATCTTCAAAAAGCATTCTAGGTCAATAATTAATAGAAAATAATTCCAATGGGAATGACTAGAAATATGACTAAGTTATCAAAAAACGTGGTTTCATGGTGTGGTGACCACATGCCAAGTTGATCATTATAGTAAATTAGAACAGAATCATTCCTAAGATTTCTTTTGCCTTTTATTGGTTACCACCAAGTATAATGATTATAAAACCCAGCATTCTTGGAGGTATTTAATTCAGAGAATGTAACATCTCTTTTTTTTTCTTGAGCTGGGTCCAAGTTTTGTATTTCAGCCTCGTAAAAAATGACATTTATAAAAATTTTTGTATCAAGCATCACCATAAAGGATGAAGTTTGCCTTTGGATTGATAATGAGTCAAAAGTCAGGTTTGCTAGAGAAAAAAATCTTACTTTTGATTTTAGAGTTAAACACACCCACATTTTTCCTTTAGATTATAAATAATTGACTTAAAAGTTGTTATTCTGCCCACAGCTACAGACTAGCTCCTAAATACCATTTTCCAAATCAATTTGAAGACGTATATAATGCCTTAAAGTGGTTCTTGCATCAAGATGTTCTCGAAATATATGGTGTTGATCCTGAAAGAGTTGGTGTTTCTGGAGACAGTGCTGGTGGAAATTTAGCTGCAGCAGTGGCTCAGCAGGTATGATACTTAGATTTATTTTATTTTGGAAAATGTCCTACACTTAAACATATTGATGTCAGACATTAAACTATCAGTGCAAGTATATAATGACGTTAATATATCAAACCTTAGGGGTGCACAGAGATTAACATTAGGAACATTTACCTGTCTAGTTCTTCTATCCCTGCCTCATGTCAGGTTTCTTTACTTTTTAAAATCAAATGATAAAATACTCTTTCTATATCATTGGTTGCAGGATGATTATTATGATCGATGAAGTGCCCTATTGTTTTATTAAGGGAGGTATTTATAAAATCAATTAAGGACATCAATCTCTATAACTAGAGCATCAGATGATTCTGGTATTCTGCAATAGAGTATGCCAAAACCTGCACAAAGACTTTTGCTATTGTAATAATCAAATTGCTCATTAAAAAATAGTTACCAGGCTCGAGGCCTGTGGCTCAAGAGGCTAAGGTGCCAGCCACATACACCTGAGCTGGTGGGTTTGAATCCAGCCTGGGCCCGCCAAACAACAATGATAGCTGCAACCAAGAAATAGCCAGGCGTTGTGGTGGGCACCTGTAGTCCCAGCTACTTGGGAGGCAGAGATAGGAGCATCATTTAAGCCCAGGAGTTGGAGGTTGGTGTGAGCTGTGATGTCATGGCACTCTACCCAGGGTGACAGCTTGAGGCTCTGTCTCCAAAAAAAAAAAAAAAAGTTCCCAGATTCATAGATACTATTTACTTGCAGAGGAAATCAATTTTCAGATACTAATTGTTCATGCTAGTTATATGACATTTAGTTAATGCCATCCACTTATTAGCTATCAATTTAAAGTATTACATTATTACAATTATCCTACTAGATTATGAACAAAATTGATTTCGATACTGGTTTTCTGACCTAAGAAATAAACCAGATACTGATGTCCTAGAAGCAATGTTCTTACAGGAAAAAAAAAAAATTATATAGACTTTGAAAATTAATGTCTCCAATTTGATAACTGACTCTAATCACAAATATTGCCTATAAACTTATTGTGTAATAAACTATTGCTATTTATGTTAACTTTATTATTTTTAACGTGTATAGATTTTGGCTATTGCTATATGTAAGATAACCTTCCCATGATTTCTAGCCAAAGGAAAAATCCAAATTCTGTGATTTATTCTACTATACTATAGAACAGATACATGCTACTTCCCCCAAATTAAATTTTACACAGCCTAGTCATTGTAATTCTGAGAAGCATTCTAATGTAGACTAAACACTCCATCATGAGGCATGAATTTTTGGAGCTAAAGCAAAAGCTGGCTTGGATAAGTCGTGTCATCTCTTCAAATATCAGTTGCTTTTTACTGTGCTACGTAATGTCTCTTCTTTTACATAATTCAGGCTTCCTTAATGATGAACTAGTTCACCCTGACTCACAATTATTAAAAATATGGATAAAATGCCTTTTAATAGTCTGTAAAGCGCCAAAGATATAGGTTAGGCAATAAGATAGGGAAAATTATGCAAAATAAAGCATGAAGATCCTAAAAGATAAAGAGTATAGTGAATACAGTCTGAAAATCTAATAGTGTTTTACATGTTATGCCAAAGACAGAGAGGGCGGAAGAAAGGAATATTTAAACATATAACATTACAGCATTTTGAAGCACTGATGAAACCTATCGAACTATAGATAGAGCCTATGAACCCTAAGTATCATTTCTGAAAATGTCAAAAATAAATAAATAAAAGAAATCTACATACGGAAATAGCAAAACAAACAGGTAGACAGCCAAAAAGCACAAAGAAATAGAAAATATCCAAAAAAAAAAAAAAGTACCTTCATAGAAGCACCAGCTATTCTGTTAATTTACTAGTCAATAGTAACAAAGTAAGCCAGTAAAACAATGCTATCAATACATAGAAAAAAAATGAATTCCAATCTAATTTATGCCCCCACAGAAACAGATATGGATAAATCCTAGGAATTTAGATAGTTTAAAATAAAATATTAAATATTTCAATTAAAAAGTAAAATATAAGAAAAAAGTTGTTATAAGTTGAGAGGAGTGGGAAGAATAGATTTTCAGTGTTATAACCTTTTTCAATTTTCCAAAAGAAAATAGGCCAATTAAAATTGGCCACTGCTAAGTTCATTTTCCTCTGAGAAGTTAAGGATATACATTGTAACTTTTAGGGTAACCATTTAAAGTATGGGAACAATTTATATTATAAGAAAAAATAGACTAATTAAAAGGCCTGCAAATCAGATATAAGACAAACATAGAAAAAAAGGAAAAGAAGGATGAATAAAGAGATAGAGTGAAACCAAACATTTTAGTTGGCAGGTAAATAAAATTACTCTAAATGATCTGGTTATAAATCTAAGATTACCAGAGTCACCGAAGAAACAGTTTCTGTTCATATGGTTTATAAGTTTAAAAATGTTAAGTAAATAGAAAATTTGAAAGTACATGAGTGGAAAATACATACCCTGAAATGTCATCTAAAAATATTGGTAGGTTAAAATAGGTCACATCATTATAGAAAAGGCTTAAATCACCAAGAAAATATAATAATTCTAATGTATGGATTCAATCATATGGCCTTAAAATAAATGAAGAAAATATTGAAGGAAGTACAGGGGAAAATACACAAGCTCACAATCAGAGTGAGAGATTTCAAAATACCTCTTTTAACAGTTAAGAGAACAAGCAGACAGAAATAATAGTAAGAGGAGAAATACAGGTAAGAGGTTTAATGTAAAGGATGGTAAAGAAGAGAACAAGCAAGTGCATAATGATCATTTTTTTATGTTAAACTATTTTCTTTTATTTTTATTAAGTCATATACACATAGATCATGAATACATTTATGCATATGTGGGGTACAATGTGTTGATTTTTTTATACAATCTGACGT